GAGGAAGAAGAAGGTTAAGAGTACTGAAAAAGTAGAGAATATCATCTGTATAAGTATTGTAATTATATGTTTGCTAATTATTATTACTAGTTTTATTATTCTTGAGCCATAATATATTAAATATTTTTTATATGATTTTTGAAGGAAAAGGTGAAAGCGATAACAGCACGATTACTTCTAATGAAAAATATAATAAAGTCGCAAAGTACTCCACAGTTATCTTAATAATAATATTAACATAATAATATTATTGAATATTATGGATATTTGGGATATTGTACGTACATATAATGTTAGGTTAAAAATGTATGCAAGGCCATCACCATAATCTAATATAAAATAACTTAGCAAACATATAATTACAATACTTACACATGACATTTTCTACTTAAATTTTTCAGTACTCAAAACCTTCTTCTTCTTCCTCCATCCGTAGGTTTCAGGTTTTTCTTAACCTAATTGCTAGTGATTGCCAGCGACCGACAGAGTACGAAAAATTTCCGTTTCCGAAAAATATGCCCCATGGGGAGCCAGGCTACTTAAAATCGGAACGGAACGATGCTGATTGGTTACCCCTACCACTTCACTTTTCCGATTCCGTGTTCCGATTCCGTTTTCCGTGCCATGGGACGGCACTCTAAGGGTGCTGTAACATGATACGGAAATTACACCGGAACGGAACAGTGAGACCAATCAGATCTCTGCAATCATTACTCTACTTTCCTCATATATGTAATACTACTATATGGCTAGATGAGAGAGAAGTCCATGTCCCAGAACCACGGTGCGGGAATATACTTCTCTCTCTTTCTCAGCGTACTTTGAACGTTGTGCGCATGCGTCGGATCATCCCTTCCATCAATAATAAATAGAAGGATAAATATACATATATGTGTAAGGAAGAAAGAAAAAGTGATTGATTCCGCTTGAGGCTGGAGTCACATTGAACGGTAATTACAGCGGAACGGAATAATGAAACCAATCAGAACTCTACAATCATTCCGCTGCTTTACTTTCTGCGATTGTGATTGGTCTCGCTGTTCCGTTCCGCTGTAAATACCGCTCAATGTGACTCCAGCCTCAGGGTATAACCTTGTTACAGTTAACAGAGTCAGTTTAGTCGGAATAAATAAATTAATCCTAATTTTATGAAATAAACTTTTTCAAGATTGCCGTTATATATATAAGAATACAGTGCAATCCCTTACAGAAATTTCACGATAATCAGTGCAAACTAATACCTATTTCATACCTATGCAAACTAATGTTTTCAGTCGCATTAGGCGCATTAGGCTTTTTGCCACATAAATAACATATCTTGACCATTTTTGCCTGTGTACACAAGCACACATCTAATAAGCATAACGAGCATAACCTGTTCGCGTCATCTCACTGATCGCACTCTATTTTCCTATTGGTGGATGCAATCAATCCAACGCATGCGCACAACACTCAAAGTACTCTTAGAAAGAGAGGGAAATATATATTCCCGCACCGTGGTTCTGGGACCGCTTCCTCTCACTCCCTCTTATAGGCACTAGCCATATAGTAGTATTACATATATGACTTTCCTTTCTGCGATTGTGATTGGTCTCACTGTTCCGTTCCGGTGTAATTTCCGTATTATGGGACAGCACCCTAAGAGTCTGCATAGTTTGTGACTAGGATTAGCAAGTAGAGTGAATATATTATGTGAATGGGAAGGGAAAGCTTTATTTAGGTAAAGGACTAGCGGCCGAGCTCTGCGTCTTGTAGAGGACAGAAAAAAATTGAATGATTAAGATCCTGTCTAGGGTCATCACATTCACAAGCCGGAGACGGCACCATATTTTTCCTGAACAAGCTATAATTGAGATTGTAATGGTTTGACCTTAGTCTATTAACCAATACTATTTCGCTCCTGTTGAGTTTCTTTTTAAAGTACCAGGGTACAGCGGTCGTAGATGAAAAGTACAACGAGTGGTAATGAGCTCCGGTGTGATTAGCCTTGTCATTTAAATAATCTGTGAAACGAGCCTTCGCTACTGCCTGAATTTGGAGGTCTGAATAGGGGGTACGGAAAAAACCCCTGGCTCCATCAACACATGCCTCTTTGGCTGCCCTAACCATATATGTAATACTACTATATGGCTAGATGAGAGAGAAGTCCATGTCCCAGAACCACGGTGCGGGAATATACTTCTCTCTCTTTCTCAGCGTACTTTGAACGTTGTGCGCATGCGTCGGATCATCCCCTCCATCAATAATAAATAGAAGGATAAATATACATATATGTGTAAGGAAGAAGGAAAAAGTGATTGATTCCGCTTCAGGGTATAACCTTGTTACAGTTAACAGAGTCAGTTTAGTCGGAATAAATAAATTAATCCTAATTTTATGAAATAAACTTTTTCAAAATTGCCGTTATGTATATAAGAATACAGTGCAATCCCTTACAGAAATTTCATGATAATCAGTGCAAACTAATACCTATTTCATACCTATGCAAACTAATGTTTTCAGTCGCATTAGGCGCATTAGGCTTTTTGCCACATAAATAACATATCTTGACCATTTTTGCCTGTGTACAACAGCACACATCTAATAAGCATAACGAGCATAACCTGTTCGCGTCATCTCACTGATCGCACTCTATTTTCCTATTGGCGGATGCAATCAATCCAACGCATGCGCACAACGCTCAAAGTACTCTTAGAAAGAGAGGGAAATATATATTCCCGCACCGTGGTTCTGGGACCGCTTCCTCTCACTCCCTCTTATAGGCACTAGCCATATAGTAGTATTACATATATGGCCCTATCAGCCAGCTCGTTGCCTAAGAATTAAGATGCTCTTATGCGAGGGGATCCAGAAGAGAAAGCAGTCGATATTGCTATGCTCCAGTTGGTGCAAAACTTGCTTTATTTTGTGAATAATGTAATTACCATTGATCAATCTGTGGGACGAGATGGCTTGCAGTACACTGCGGGAATCTGAAAAAATGTAAATTTTAGAATAGCCGGCATCTAGTGCCAAAATCAAGGCTTGATATATTGCCCAAGCTTCCGCCGTAAATACTGAAGTGCTGCAAGTTAGCTTGTATTTGAAGCAATGTTCAAGTTCCGGCGAGAAAAAGGCCGCACCCACGCATCCATCCTCCGACAGCTTTGATCCATCTGTATAAACGGTGAGACCGGATGGGTCTAGTTCCTGAAGTCTGCTGCTAAAAGAATGAATAATTTCATTATCGTTGGTTTCCTTAGTGCAGGAGATAAAAGATTCAAAATGTTTACGAAAAATGAAAGCATTCAAACTACTCTCGAATGCGGGAATAAAGTATGAACTTTTCAGGTGTGGAATGTCATGTTTGTTGATAATGTAACATCTCAGCGAAGGAGATTTAGCCAGGACCTGAGCCTTCTGCGCAGGTGTGCTAAGACTATATTCCAAAGATTCAATACTGTTTATAACCGGATGATTTCTTTTAGACATGCATTTGATAACGAATCTCTCGCTGAGAAGATTAAATCTTAATCTCAAGGGATATTCCCTCGCCTCGCACAGCATGACATTAATAGGAGTAGACAAGCGGTATCCCATGGACGTCCTTATGGCTTTGGACTGTAACCTCTCGAGTTGACGGAAAATTCTTGCATTATTTTTCCATGTGAAGATTGAACAGGCGTATTCTACAGCTCCCCTAAAAACGGATCGGTATATGGCAAGTAAGCAGTGGGGATGGGAACCCCACCAAACCGCCGTGAGAGTTGACATAATGTTAACTAGAGCCTTTCCTTTCTTCACAAGATATTCCAAATGTAGGTTACCCTTCAATTTGCGATCCAATATAACTCCTAGGAATTTGACCTTTTCCACTCTGGGAATAGGAAGATTGTCTATAGAAAGAGAGCAATCTGGCGCGGGCACAGCCTTAGAGATCGCAAAAATCATCCAACTTGACTTGGAAGGGGAGAGAGATAAGCCCTTGGTCCCAACATAGTTCGAAACTTTATTTAAAGTTGTCTGGATCCTATCAACTGCCTTCACAGGATTGCAATGAGAGGTAAATATCACGATATCATCTGCGTACTGTAGAAATTGTACGTTTCTGGACATGCAGGATCCAATATTGCAGAGGGCGATATTGAAAAGCAAGGGGCTCAGTACTGAGTCCTGCGGGGTACCTTTATACGACAGCCGTTTTTCTCCCAGATCTCCTTGTTCCAAGAACTACACCGATCTCTCAACGATGAGATTTTCTATAAATCTGATGGTGGCCGGCACGCCAGCGTTTTTCAATTCATCAAGCACAGCAGAGAGCAAAATATTGTCGAATGCGCCAGTAATATCCAGAAAGACTGCAACAAAAAATTCGCGATTTGACATAGCCAGAAGAATCTGGTTTGTAAACGTAACCAGGCTATCACTGCATGATCTGCTGGGATGATTTGCTCGTTGGGGAAAAGTGATTGTGATTCAATAAGCCACACCAATCTCCAGTATATAATTCTTTCTAGTAACTTAAGTATACACGATAAAAGAGAGATAGGTCTTATTCTAGAGTTTCCGGCTTTGGGAATGAAGATTACTAAAGAAGTTCTCCATTCGGTGGGGATGACTCCCTCTTGAAGGAATCTGTTGAAAAGGTCGACTAATAGCTCTCTATATTCAGATGGAAGATAGTCAAACATGTTGTTACTGATTCTGTCCAGACCTGGGGCGGAGTTGTTATTGGCTAGGGAGATTGCCATGTCAAGATGTTCCGTGGTGATCGGGGTGTCGAGCTCCTTGAATATCTTTTCCGTCTGTTCATCCTCCTTTCTCATATCATCGAGGCTCATTGTGATGTTGTGTAAACATGAAGGTGGACATAGTTTTTGAATTGCCTCACTGGTCAACTGCCTCTGATTGAAGTAATCCATATTTTCGCTGATTGCGATGCAGTGATGAGGGCGCATAGCGCCCGATAAAATAGCAAACATAATTCGCAGGTACAAAGCGGCAGTAACGGCCGCGTAACACCGAGCACCGCCGATCGAGACCGAAGTAGAGCGATCGCCGCGGATTCCCACTTCTTGGGACTCAGACCCGAACACCGCAAAGTACGGGAAAACGCGAGCGAAAGCGGAAAACCACGAACGCGGCATTTTCGTTCGTATAAAAATGCCGCGTTACGAGAAAAGTGTGATTCCTGTCCCGACCTGCTCCAGACAACGAATCCCGAGATCCTAGCAAGCCTACACGACACCGAGAAAACGGGCCAGAGCGTTCTCTAGCTCCGTCGAGAGTTCTCGACAGGTCTCTAGTCAGGCATCCTAGTGCACCGAACGGCAAGAACCGAGGGGCAGAGTGTGCTCTGCCTCTGCCGAGCGTTCTCGGCAGCCGTCTCGGTGCAACGTGCAACCACCACTGCATCACGCACTGCGATCGACCAGCAGTCGCCCGGGGTGGAGAGTTCTCCACCTCTGCCGAGCGTTCTCGGCCGCTGGTCATCGCCCGTCTTAGCGCATCTACGCGAATCCGCGATAACGCCCGAACAACCACGCGTCGCGAATTACAGACTGCCGTATTGACAGTTCTAAATATAAACCAGGCACAGCTGAGCAGCCTCGCTAGCCGAGACCGCGAAGAGGAAAAAAAGGAGCATAGTGAGCCGTCCGTTTTTTGCGTCGACCCGTCATAATACCGTCTCGAGCAACACCGCTCACTCGCTCTCACTTGCTCCCTCGTATTCCTACCTGCGGCTCACGCTCTTACACTCACTACTCGCAGTATCCACCGCTCCGATTGCGATTCACACACACTCACACACACGCACACACCCGCTCTGCAGTGTCAAATAAACACCGCACCGACTGCGCTTCGTACACACACAACACACGCACGCACACACACACGCACACACACGCACGCCGCTATACCTGCCGATTGTCTAGGCGCTAAGCCATTTCTTATATTTCGTTCCGGCAGAATATAAGCCATTTCGGCGAATTTCAATAAAGTGAATTGTTTGGTTATTATACGCACCTGTCTGAGACTTTACTTGCCTGACACTCTCCCACCGATCGAACCTCTTTCGAATCCTCGGACAAGTATTCCGACGATCTAACGCCGCGCAAATCGAAAGCTAGGTAATTACATATTAACGGACACCATGCCGAAGACCTTGATATATGTTTACAATTTCATGATTCACGCATACCTCAGGCATTTTTACTCAGTGTATATCAGTCAATAGATGAGCTAAATTGGATCAGAACACGTTTGTGGACATGCATTATCTGCCATATATGTATTATAACAATGTACTATTTTACATTTCTTTCTGTTTAGAATCGTTAAACTTTCCACGCGAAGTAACTCTCACTCCCCCAACCCCCTGCAAAGGGGCACACGACTTCTATGATTATACTGTTGCTATGATTGTACCGTTGGGGAAGACCTCTGCCGACGGGGCGGATGCGGAAGGGGGGACCCGCAGGCCACCCCCTTGCACCCGCCCGTTTGTGTGTGTTCTATTTGATATATAACAATTATGAGTCTATTACTTCATGTTTTACACACATACATACACATACACGGGCGGGTGCAAGGGGGTGTGAAGTCGTGTGCTCCTGTGTAAGGGGGGAGAGGGGGGTGAAAGTTACTTCGCGTGGAAAGTTTAACGTTTCTGAATACGGAAAGGTGTAGAATAGTACTTAACATCACACATGTATTGCAGAAATAATTCAGAAGTATTCATAATTACATATTTTATTAATATTGAATAAATTATTCATTGATCGCGATATGGTGAGTAAAAACGAGCCATTACATCAAAAAATACATCAATACTTCGCTTGAAAGTCACGCTGTATAATAGAAATAAAACGTAATTTTTCAAACTTTTTTTGATCATAACTTTTTAACGGACAGCGACCGCCACCTAAAACCTGCGGGAGGTTACTCAGGGTTATGACCTCGACAACATATGTCAAGGTCAAGGTCATCGGGGGTGGCTTCCCTTTTCTGTACTATTACCACATTTTAGATTTATACATATAAACATTTAAAATAAATAAATAACTGATATATTATCAATTAAAGGTGCCAGTACAAAGTGAACATACATAAAGTGTATGTAACTTTCGGCCGATTTTCGAATCCCCTCCGCCTTCCACTGTCCCCCTCACTTCATCGCTCCGCGCGCAGATCAAATGTCGCTCGAGCGACGCCGGAGACACTACCGCGTCACTTGATATACATGCGCTTCTTTTCCATAATTCTTTTCCAACCAAATATAGAAGAGGGTGTCCGGAATATAAATATCAAAACTTTGAGAGCGTGTAGAGAATCGTTAAAGACTCTTAGAGATTTTGTTTTTGCTTCGTTTTAGAGAAAATTGCAAAAAAAATTAAAAGTAGTTTTCATTTTTGTACTTTTATATTACTTACTTATGTTATTAATTCACATTTGCTTAAAATAGATATTATTTAAAATATTTGCTTTTTGCAATAATACAAGCATATCATCAGATCGGACAGTTCGTGTTGCAACCAAACAATGATCTGGTGGTATTTATATCACATTTAGTGCTGCTTCGATTCGATTTTTCAATTGTCTTCTTGAGTTGATTGACAACGAATAAACTTACTGCTTTAAAACCTTCCACAAAGAAGTTCAGTGATGTCAGAACGAAATGATAAAGACACTACTTCTTCACCTCCAAGAACGAAGCAATTACATTTTATCTTTTTCGCGATATTCTCCAAAATTATAAGCAAAAACGAGTCTATTTCTAAGAGATATTTTTTCTTAGTTTCTCGATTCTCTACATACTTCTGAAGCTTTGACATTTAAATTTCGGAAACCCTGTATATAGGGGAAGCCCGGGCAGTGTGGATATGTTAAGGTTTGGGAAGAAAAATGACATAGTTAAAATTAAGATCAGAAACTTTTTTTTATTCTTAAAATTTCATTATAGAATAAACTTTAAAATAAAATTAAATAAAATAAAAAAACTTGAACATTTATATGTATTTTAAATAAAAATGTAAGAAAAGAAAAATCATCCGCTTTACCCAACCCCCCTGGGTAAATCGAATATTACTCGAATAATGAGAATATAATGAGGAATATAATAAAAAAATATCAAAATTAATATTGGCAATCGTCACAAAAATAGCTGCCAAATCCTCTATATGTTGTGCAGCCTTCATGAGTGCATTGATTGCACTGTATCCAGTCTTCGGATGGTTGGATCGATGTATTCTTGAGAACACACCAAACAGAAGTAACGTACGTTCTCTTAATCATTAACAGACTTTTCTTTTTTAACTCGCTTTCTGTTTACATCACTACAGCTAGGTCCAGCAGTGATGATGTGCTATTCGTTTTGTCCCCACTCACTTTGCCTAAAGAACCTACTTGGCGCAAATTAGGAAAAATTAGAATAAGTTTCAGCAACAAGTGAAAAATTTTAACCTCTAATGCACGTTTAAATACAGAGAATTCCTATAAAAATTTATTTACACTGGTTAAGAAACAATTATTGCTAATAATTACACTCTATGTATCTAAGCAAAAATCGTAAGAAAACAGACAATTTCGTATATTTGTATATAAAACGTAATCAATCGCAATCATATTGCGTTTTGTATTTTCATAGCGTCGCCGGCCGGTTATTCCTGCAACAGTTAGAGATTCATAGCACCATCTCTGATAGATAAGCAAAAATAAAAAGTATTCGGTTTGCCTAGGGCATCCATTTTGCCCGGGCTTCCCCTATGAAAGTCAGTATCAGTTTGTTCGTTATATACCGATATCTAAATTACAATTAATACAATGAGTCGAAACATAGAAGAGAAATCAACTTAATTTTTAATGAATGCATTTTTAACGAACGCATAATTCTTGATAAATGGATATTTAATATTCTTAATTGATGGATAATTCTTAATAAGTTATATTATCCTTTATGTACTACATAAAATATTAACGTCCACTATATAAAACACTTTATCGAAGTTATCAGCTTCAATTTGAGTCGACACATCGTGTCATAAATAAAAAGCATTAAATAAATATCTTGGCACCTAATATAAAAACGCAATATTACAAGGACACTTAAGTTTATA